GGAAGCATTTGTAAATAGCTGAGATGAGCACAGAGGGTGAATATGTGAGACGCTGGCTTAATTTGTTTCTGTTCTTTTCATTTCTGCTTGTTGAGTAATAAATTTTTTAGTATTCAGACTGAGCATTTAGGATCTCCCTTAACACTAGAGGAGAATCAGAGAATGTTAGAGGACATAATTCAGAGTAAGTTCCATCGAAGTCAGCATATCAAGATAGAAACTGCCTATAAGAGGGCCCTGAGCACACTAACAGGCCTTAGTGGCCCTGACAGCCCCAGCCTGGGTCTCAATCCCACCAAGCACGGGCCCATTTAAGTCAAGCTGCTGGGCTGTGGCAGACCCTGGTTACCCTTATTGGGTCCGATCCTGGCCTTGTGCTGCTGATTTACATTTCTGGCTTCACCTCAGAGCTGTCTCATCACTACAGACTTGCTTGATGACCCAAACTCTTGGTTGAGGCTGCCCCTGCTCCCTCACTGGAGGCAGTGGGCAGGCCAGCTGGGCTCTGCCTTTCTGACCCCACCCTAGGGATATTCCCTGTGAGAAATCATTTTAACACAGAAGAGAGTCAAATATACAAACTATTTAGTGATCTGCTCAAAACACTTTTTCATGGCATGGAACTCTTCCAAGTATATTAAACACTGCACATTTGATTATTGGATACAACTGCTTAAGGGCTAGGTTGTGAAAGAAAAATCAGGAGTTATGACAATAACATCAGATCTTAATTCCAATGCGGAATTTTAAAAGCTATTTGCCCCTATGGCACATTCGCCTCTCCAGAGCCCACTAACCTTGTGCCTGCTAACCTTGTAAAGCTATGAGCATATCATTTTAGTCCTAGAGATGTGCAGAAGCGGAATTCTGCGTTTTGAAGATTATCTACAGAAAGGAACTTTTATGAGGCCTCTCACATAGTCAAATACCAGTCATTGACCCTAGCTCTCGTAATCCAGACCCAGATTCTTCCTTGTGTACTATAAAACAATAAAACATGAACTATTACAGCAGGTGGAATATTTTTAATAAGGGGAGTTACAGTATGTTAGTAAACATATGAGGCACTGGAACAGATTGCCCAGAGAGGTTGTGGAGGCCCCATCCCTGGAAATGTTCAAGGCCAGGTTGGATGAGACTTTGGACAACGTGGTCTAGTGGAGGGTGTCCCTGCCCATGGCAGGGGGGTTGGAACTAGATGATCTTTGAGGCCCCTTCCAACCCAAACCATTCTATAATATTATGCTTTTATTCATGTTAATTGCTGTTATTAAGAGACCATAACTTCTTTCAGTTTGACCTGGAGCTATAAAGCCACCAGCTGAGAGTTAGATAGAAACATGTCATTGCCAGGTATCAGTTACTGATTATTTTTATGACCAATTAACTTCTCTATGAGGGAAATTTAAAAAGCTCACTCCAGATCCTGCTCTCCTCTCAAAACTTTTTATTCCCCGCTTAACATTGTCACGCTAAAAATGTATGGCTGACAAACCTCACACTACTTCTGTCCTAAGTTAAGCTTTCTATAATTTGACCTGTATTCTTTTCAGCCTCCTGGGGGAAAAAAAAAAAAAAAAGAGAAAAAAACCCTATTTTGTAATCCTGCAGAAGAGATTGTCCCACATGATGAAAGAGTTCATTATACCTTTGAGGGGTAGTTAAGACTTCCCCTTTCCAGCAGTGGCTGTCGTGGGTGCCTCGGAATGGCCAGGCACTCACGTGGCACTGCTGGGACAGGATTTGTTCACTGTGCTGAACCTAATTTTTAATGGAGGAACGTGGCTGAAAGGTCTATGCTTCTTTATGGTTTAGCTCCCACAATTCCCAGAGTTATAACTCCACTGTTATTACTTACAATAATGAAAGAAAAAACATGTGACTAAACCAGAAAGAAATGCATTTCCTGTTTTGTTCCTTTTTAGTACATTTCTAGTACAAAACAGTAGAGGTATGAATTTCATTCCTGTAGCAACAGCTCTCACAGAGGTGTCTACTTCAGCTAGTCCTTACATTTGTAAAAAATGAAGCTGCATTAGCTGCTGGGCATTTCAGTCCTTGATCAGCTACCTGGCTGAGTCAGTTCTACCGGATGTTCAGTTTAATGCACAGCAAACTAGATAGTAGGAGGCAAGCAGCATACAGTTCTAATGCAAAGCAGAGCAATCCACATTGCATTTTAGTGACTATCATAAAAGTAGGTTATCACAGACACTATGCATGCTGAATATTCTCAGAAACAACACACAAAAATCTTCAAAGTTGCTTGACACAAAAACCATTTTGACTTTGCATAATAGTTCACTAACATTTTAAAGAAAGATTTGTCATTTTTTAACTTTTGCTTCTTTTGTCTTAACCTTTCAGCAAGCTTTCAACACTGGTTTTCTATACAAGGCAAAACAAAAATTCCATAAACTGGACATAACAGAACATTTTAAGGAAAGGTAAATGAAGCTGTAACAACTTTAGCACATGAGCCTTCCATCAGGAATTCATGCAAAAAACCAGCAAGTTACGCAAATGGTTCTATTTGAAGAGATAAAACAAATTATAGACAATTGCCTTACAGCACAAAAATATGAAAACTTTTGAAAATTACTGTTGTATATAAGAAATTAATTTCAGGTGGCAAAGTTTACCTAGGTGTTCTGAAATAAAGGTAGAAACAGAATTAACATCATCTACAGATGTAATCAGCTGTTTAATTTTTAATCAGTCATTAAAAATACCATTTAAGAACTCATCCCTTTTAAACAGGTTAATAAAAAATTAAGTTTAGTGGGCAGTTCAGCATGCTTCACTGTACTCAAAAATACAATGTTTCATGTTTTATATAATAGCTTTATTATCAAATGGCAAGAGACATTTAGTAGTGATGTCATGCAGGTATCACAAAAATTTCCAAGATAAACAGGTCGCCTAACAGCTCAAAATTCCTTGCAATTAAAAAACAAAGCTACATTTTCCTGATTTCCCAGGATGTTTCATGGTAGACACTGTTCTCCTATCAAAATGTTATGGCTATCTCTTGGATCACTTGCTGGATTCCCAGAAGGAAAGGGTAGGCAAGTACATTACTCCACAGCACAGTGCTTTTTTGCCTTTTTCAGAAGGCCTTCTTGACTCTTCACAACCCTCAGAAGTAGTCCTCATAGGGTAGGAAACTGCCTGAGGCCCTTGCCAGCTAAAGATAAACACAGAAGGGACAGGTTAAAAAAAAAAACCAACAAAAAACCCACACCACTACAGTTTTGCAAAGGGGAAGAACCATATTTTCAACCTTTTTAAGGTCTTAAGGCTTTCAGCCACTGTAGAGGGAACCCAGTCTATGGCTGAAACAACAGATTTTTCAGTAACATAGCCCGATCCCATCTACGCAGTGAAATATAACACAGTGAAAATGTCAAGTAATAGCATGATTCATATTAAATTGAAACATAGTTCAGATCCTTCTTCAGTGTCAAGGTTCCACCAAAACATTGGCTTTATACAGCGCAGAAGGGATTTTACAACAGCACGTTATTAACTAGAGATTGAGGCAAATTTTGAGAAAAGCCACTGGACAGTAAGTAGTAGGTACTTTATTCTGAGAGTTCATCTGCATGAAAAGTTAACGATGCAGAAAAGTAGTCTGTAAATCCACAGCATAAATCACACTCAATAGTCCAGGGGACACTTGCTCAGAGAGCTAAATTCACACTCAAGTTTACTATGGCGTAAGTCCCCTGGGTAGATGACCTCTGAGATTAGAACTGCAGCAATAAAAATAATCACTGTTCAGTTTTAAATGCCAGAGTACACTTTCAGAGTAAATTCTAAATTGCAAAACAATTGCTGAAGCTAAATGCTCTTACAATAAACCTGCAAATAGAAGTGATAGGTATTCCTTTATATACACCTATGTAAAAAATACCATTTACTGTGCAGCCCAGATTTAAATGAAAGACAAATAGTGTATCAATAATATTTACTATATATTTACATGTAATACTGTGATGAAATGAAGGAGTCAATTAACATTATGTTACAAAAAGAACAAAACCCTTTAAAGGTACCAGTACCTTTCACATTATCACATTTATGATCTGTTCTCTGACATCTCAAATGATCTATCATATGACGACTTAACTTGAGGATACAGACAAATAAACCCTTGAATCAGAGCAGACGCTAATGTGTCAGCTCCCATTTCAGCAAGATACTTCAGGGGCACCAACTTGAAGCATTAAGCAGCACTGGTTTCAGTAGGATAAAACTTCAATGTGCACCCCAGTTCCTTGCTGATCAGGACCTCATTTCATGGGATTCCACTGACAATACAACAAACAACAGTTACAAGCATACAAGGGAAGGTATCATATACCTTATTGAGTGATTATATATAATTTTACCTAAAGGTGAACCCTAGCTGGTTGCCCATTGCCAGTTAATGACTTACCAGACAATGGAATAATTGGAATCATCCTTTCAATTTCATATACACTAACACATGAGCCTTTTGTTACATGATGCTTTGAACATTATTTGGAATCAGCTCTTCAATAAGAGCTGCACCAATTTGTGTACCTGACATTTCTAGCTACTTGAACGGCAATGCAAAGATTTTATACTCTTTACATATTGCTTGAGAAATGGTAATGTTACACTGCTTAAAGTTTGTTTTTAAAATCACTTGAGAACTGAGAGTTTTATATAATCATATGATCGTTTTCTTAAATTGGCAGGATAAATCTATACAAGTGAAATATTGGCAAAATAATCAACACTCAAAAATTAAAATTAGAACTTCAAAATCATCAGCCAGCCACAATAAAAATTCTAACCTGCTCTCTTCCTTTCTATATCCTCTCCCAGAATAAAACTTTACAGAGGACAAGAGGGAATGATGTGACACTTCGCGTTTGTTAATCCAGTTAGTAAAGCAGATGTAGGTTCAAGTATTTAAATCCACACAGCACTAATAAATAGAAGTAAACAATCAGGATGAGGATATCATTGTAGTTAACGTACTGCAAAAAACCTTTGTTGAGTGAGCACCGTTACTATGCTATTATTTTGGAACTCCAAAAGGAACAAAAGAAATATTGTTAATGAGAAATGTACTCAGACCAGGTTACATGCAAGCCAACATAGAATGTTACAAAATTGGACTGAATAATTAAGGGTTTTTTCCCCCGCAAATTTATGTCTACATTACAATTTTTGTTCTGCAGATAATCAGAGCAAAATGTTACATCTGTGTTTTCACTTCCCCTCATCCTGAAGGCCCCCCACACACCCTCCCCAAAGTAAATCACTGATGGTTTGGTTACAAAACTATATGCAGTACATTTCTGAACACAGTTCCTTCTATTTTAGGACATGTGTTCATTTAAAGACATTCTTCTCAATTACAAGCCTCCCCTTTAATTGCTTAAGATCCAATAGAAAAGCAAATATACAAATATCAGAAGTGCTGATCCTGAGATGAAGTATGGGAAATTCTGGTCCAGTTTGATCCTTATTCAAACTTCTGTTTCAGTTTCTTCTGGAAGACAGCTGGTAGGATGGAGAGGATAGCTAGGATCATGAGAACAAAAACAGAGTTCCAGGAAACAGCTTCCCCTGCTGTTGTAAGTTGGTACAGCGTTGTTCCTGCCTTAATGGCTACAAAAGACGGCGGTGCCACACCTGGAGCAGGGAATTAGAAAGGTAGGAGGGCAAAGGAAGAAAAAACAGCTTGTTAGGGTGAAAAAATGGATGAGATCATAAATTAGTCATCCAACTTATAACACCAAAAATTTCAAACTTTGTTGCCCTGTACTTTTTTTTTTTAAAGAGGGGTGTAAATACAAAATTCAAACACAAAAAACCCTTATCAAAAGAACTGGCTTTATGCCAATTTTAGTATTTTTAACACCAACTCAAACACAGGAGACTGAGAAAATAATCTCTGCTTTTTCAACTCTGCAGATTTCAAGTTGCTTCTTACAAACTAATTTTATTTAAGTTCATTAAGGAAAAATATGGATTGTTTCCTAACCAGATTGGCATATTTTTGCAAATATTCTTTAATTACAAAACAAAAATGTTTAACACCACATTAATTATGAATTCAGTCCTAGGAAGATATATTATGCTTAATAAAATGGAGCAGGAAATGGAGAAACAATCCTTCAGATCAAAGTCACATACATCCTCACACAATTATGCTGAGCTTATAGTGGAGTGGAACAAAAAGTTACTAATAAAGTGTTCATAGAATGTATGTTTCCTTAAGCAAGTAATTAAGCCTGGGCTCATTACATCTCATCCAGTACATCAGAATAGTCCTGACTACTAAAATCTTTCTATTGCTCTAAGCCCCACACATTGAAAAGTACAAGCCCAATGTTCTTGTAATCTTTCAGTTGTCCAACAGGTGGTGATCCCTGCTGCACCACAAATCCAAAACGTATCCCCACACTAGCTACTACAAAGAAAAATCAATCCTCTCAGCTGAAACCAGGACAACAACCCATACAGACAAGCAAGTAATACCCCTCCTTCTGGCTACCCCCAAACTGCAGTTCACCAGCCAGAATTCTTACCTAGAAAAGTGCCAATGAAAAATACTTTCAATGGCACATTAATTACAGGAGATGTTATATTGATAAACCAATTGGGAAGGAAAGGTGTTATTCTCAAAAATATTATGTAGTTAATGAGGTGTTCTCTGTGCCGTTCAACCTGCCAAAACAACAAAAAAAAAATCAGTAAAAAAAAATCCCTGCCTTGAAATTACACAAAGATTTTACTACTAGGGGTTTGTTAGGAGCTTTTTTGTGTAACTTTTGTAGAAATTTACCTGATTTTTATGTTTGCAACTTGTAAACAATAAGTGACTCAAGGAAGAGTCATCAGTGAATCACCTGTTAAATAGCACTGAAGTTGGTCTGGAAATACCAGTCTGTGGTAGAGCATGGTCATGATGTGTCTGAATCAGCCAACTTATACAGCCAACAAGTCATTTAGCACAGCAGCAGGCCTAACCCTAACTTTAGCACAGCAACTTCTGCCTAACTGTAGCCCAGTCACCTTATATTCCAAAAGCTCTTGCAGGAAATAGCAATGAAGTTTGTTCTTCAACCCATTCTGTCCTAACTCATGATCAAACTTGAAACACAGCTCTATTCCCCACTTGGAAACTTACCCAGGTCACAAGTCTGAAGTTTACCAGGTGGATGCTGCCAGCACAGTTGCAAAACCTATCTATCCATGTGTTAGAATGCCTAGCATTAACATTTACCCAGAGCAACCACAATAGCCTCAAGTTTATTTACAGTCTTAATTATATTTTCAAGTCTAGCCCAGCTCCTTACACTACATCAAAGCCTCTGCCCCTTCCAGCCTGACACATCAGTCCTTTCAAACAAGAACTGCAACCTCAAACCAAGCTATAAGGACAGCAAAGCATCCATCACTTGTTGCCTATTCTGGCAGACCTTCACTAAGCCTAAGCCTAAACATGGCCAAACAGCTGAAATCAAACTTGGTCTGATTGCAATTCCATCTGAAGTCTCATGTAACAACTCACCCCAGTCACAACCCTGTTTTGTCCCCTCCAACTTTAGCTTTATCTGCAACACTGAAGTCAGTGCTGTTGTTCAGTAATACCACTGTAGGTTTTTTTAATCTTAGTGAAGGCCAAATACTTGAATGTTGATTAATCCTGCATATAAAATGTCTTACCCCTCAAAATGCAAGCATCACATAGTCCAATTAACCTGGAAACAGCGAGATATGAACTGCACATTTAATTACATCTTTTTAAATCACATATCCAGTTCTATCAATGGAAATAGTAACCATTTGCCAGTCAGAAAATAGCCTCAAGATTATACTGTGATATTTCTTGATTTTTATTGATTTACTTGCGTCAAGAGTCAAAATACTAATACATTATTTAATAAGGTCAATTGTGCAGGACAACTCTACATCTTACCTAATGAGGAACAAGTTTAAAATATTTTATGTGATTCAAGCACCTTGAACAGAGTACAGTAGTAAGTTGTGCTTCATACTTGCAAAAAAAAAAATCTGTCAAGTCAAATACTAATCACACTATGATTTTTACTGCAAAATCTTTAACTTCATCTGATGATTAACACTTGCTGAAACTAACATTACCAGATACTATAAGAGAAAGTTTCTATATGCTCCAACCACAATAACAACTTCAAATTAAGGTTTTGCAATCAGACATACAGCTACACGTTTTCTTCTCCTATAAAACACACAAACCCAGCTTTTATTAGTTCTGATGCTTAGAGAGCTATTACTTTAAATTGAAACCAGAGAGATTTCCTATTGACATTAGCTAAACCAGGGGGGTTATCAGTTGCAAACTCTTCCTAGGTAAAAACAGCTTCCTCATGCGAAATATCATAAAATCAGGAATACTCCCCACTGTTTACAAACACAAAGAGAAAGTAACTACACAGCATCAGAAAGGAGTCAGAATCCTTTCTCTGTAACTAGGTGCATAAGCACGGGATCCCCTAGTTTTCCATGCTATTCCACTATACGTTTTCATCATAAATTCCAGCATCTCTAGAAACTTTACCTGTTCTGACCATTTTACTGCTTTTTCTGTTAAATATCTGTATACAACAGGACGTCCCACTAAGTATGAAAGCATGTAGCAGAATGAAGCTCCAAGTCCTGAGCACTGGAGAAAAAAAAAAACCAAAAACAAACAGATGAGCAGAAACTCTGATTAATCTTAGCCTTATATCCCTATTAACTACACTGGCTAGATAGAGCCTGCTTTTCTGTAGCCCTCCACTGAGGCTGAAGGGCTCTCCTTCAGCGGTATGTACACATTCCCTAGGAACGTTGTTGACCGAAGACAGTCCCTTTATTTCCACGGCATTTAGGTCAATCTTAACATTTAAAGTAGCTAATGTTGATTACTTATCAGTTAATACCGAGTGCTTCTGCAGTTTTAAGATTTTGAACAGTGAAAGCATTGCAACTAAGGGGCACAATGGCATTAAAGAGATTCGAACTTGAAAATTCATCAATTTGTTCCTCCATACCTAGTCAATTATCTTATTATGACTGCATCTTTGATAAATTACTTTTTTTGAAGCTGGTCAATAACATACATTTCATATCTTAAATTAAGCTTCTTGGGTATTTAAGCCATTTAAAACCAGATGTGTTTTGCAATGTGATAATAAGAACAAAGTAATCATGTTCTGAAATTACAATCAGATTCTGGTGGATGCTAGACAAATTTAAAGTAAGGGAAACTCCCGGTGATTCACACCCAGCTGCCTCCATTAAGAAAACTTAGAGAAACAGTTTAGTCTTTCAGATCATCACCCCGTGCTACAGTGAATTTTGTGGGTAATGCCATTCTCACAGAGCTGAATGAGAACTCATTCATACCCCTATTTCACTCAGACTCTGATCGTTTCAAACAGGAAGCTGTTTAGATGCTTGTTAGTATTCCAAATGGAGAGAAATATATGCCCTCACAAACTATTTTCCATACTTACCAGACAAACAAGAAATAAGGCCAGCGGAAAGGGATAAAGAAACCCTGACAGGATACTGAGAAATATAGACCCAGGGATAGCAAATGTTTGCAAGCTGGATGCATCTTCATTAAGGAAAAAAAAAAGAATTTTTAAAAAGCTACCCAATTCTTAAGTTTATAAGGAGTCAGGATACATATTACCATTTGAAAAAACCATAAATATAAATAGGCATAGCCTCTAAAGATCTTTACTTCAAAATACATTTGCAGAGTAGCACAAGAAGCCCAAGTGCAGAGAAAAAAGGGGTAGATTCATCATCAGCCATACAAAAAGAGAGTCACTAAAAAGCTGTACTACATTTTTCTCTTTACCTGTGCTACAACTGACACTGAGGATTTATTATGAGATTACAGGAAACACTTCTGATTTTACACTGTTGACAAGAGATATGCAGAGTTCAGATACTCTCTCTGAAAAGTCCACAGAACTGTCTGAGCCCATAACTACTATGAGTTTTGTGGAAGATTGACATGTATGAAGGCAACTACTACTTCCTTACAAACAGGCATGCTGCAATCACTAGGTAACTGGAATGCATGACCACTAATTTCAGTCAGAATTTTTCAAAAAGGCAAACATTAAGTTTCTGCAGCATAAGCTAGCAGGCTGTTCAGCTTAAGGCTTGCTAGGCATACTTGAGACTATGACGTATTGCCCACTCTGGATAGAAATCTTATAAAGCAAAAAAATCTGCACACCATTGTATCTGAATTGAATTGACTGAAATATCAAAAAGCCAAATAATCTTCCTTAAGTACATTACAAACAGTACAGCTTTTTCTAAGCAAGTGTCAAGGTTGTAAGGTAACTGTAATGTGCTTGTCAACTGATCAGAGTCTACTGCTGGGACAGTAAAATGTCGTCATATCAGCTGCTATAGTAGTTCAATAAATATCCAATTCTGTTCTACTTGTTTATATATAAACTCTAACATTTTAATTTTCTTCATAAATCTATTTGTGAACTACAGGATAATTACTAATGGCACATTCAGCGCTGATTTTTCTCCGAGTTACAAAAGCCTCCTGCATTAAACTATGAAGCAGACCTCTTATACAGCTTTTGAAAGTTATTAACCTTTAGTTAAGTGTTCCAGTTAAGAGTGTGTTTAATGATTAATTAATATATTCAGCACTCAGGAAAAAGAAGTTAACACAGAACACAGGTAGCCTTTGTGTTTCCCTAGGCAGAAAGTACTTCAGAAATTTAGCTCTCTAAAAGGAAAGAGAGATTTGGTTTTTTGAATGCAGGCACTGCAGAGATGAAAGAAGGCTGAAAACTCTTTAAGAAACACTGTAAAACATTCTGTAAGTTACCCTTACATGGCACTTTTGAATGTCTCAAGAAAGAACAGCTCAATAGTCTTAGTTTTCCTTCAGAATCAACGGTAGCTTCTAACTGGCAATTCAGTTTGCAATTAAAAAAGTTATTATAACACTAAAATGAGACCAAGTCTAGCATCAAAGCTAAAAATATTGTCCATAACAGACACAGTCAAGGTGCAGCTGCATGCAAATCCCCAACAGCATTTACTACTTTATATAGACGCATCAATTCCTTCTACTCAATCCTTTCTTACAGTCCAAAAAGCATACTGAAACACACAAGAAATGTTTTTAACTTCAAAGGTTTTGCAACATTTGTGTCTATTTATAAACACATCCAAGTATGTTAGCCTCCTTCACCCATGATCAAGCATTTATAAATTTGTATTTTTCATTTCTTTTTCAGAGATATGTAACTATATCAAAACCGCTTTTTATATCGAAAAAAGGATACAAAACATATGTGGCAAAATAAGCCACTAATACTTGAACATAAAATGTGTCCTTATATTTGGACAGGACTTTTCCCAAGGCCTTTGCATCATCCATATCTCTAGGAACCTTTATACATTCTCTTTCTTCTCTGGAAAAAGAAAAAAACCAAGAATGGTGGTAAATATAATCAAACAGTATAGTAAAACTATCTACTGAATATATAGATAATTAGATACACTACATCACTTAACTACAACCTCAGCAAACAAACCACGATTATTGTTGTGAAAGTGTTCTCAGATGAACACTTAGTATTTACACTCTGATTTTTGTTAGAAAATCCTCTATTTTAGATATTTGCAAACCATATCTTTTTTATTCATTACAACAATCTGCTTAATTTCTAGAGTTTGGGCTTGGTTTTTTTTTTACCAAGTACCAACCAAGAGAAATAATTACTCTAATCAAACCTTGGCAACTGAACAGCAGTCAACATTTCAGCAAAAAACCATTGTAACTGCCTCAACACTAGGGTCATAACATTTTAAGTGCAGCAAGAGCAGCAGAGCTTTACCTCACAAACAAACAAAGCTTTAAGAGCAAAATCTCATGTCACACCTTAATCTGGTGCAACCCTGGGCAGCCCAGTTGAGTGTCCTCTCTTCCTCTGTATCAGACTTAGAGATTGGATTGTTGCAAACTGAACTTGTTGAGCAAGTTAATCAGACAGAAAATTAACTACTACAAGAAAAAAAGAAAGTTGTCAGACAAGCAGGCTTCCATCTTGTCAAACTATGTACCTTCCCAACACAAGTACTAGATACAACGAAAAGGAGAAAAAGAAAACATGAAGCTTAGACACAATGGAAGAAGGATGTCCTTTTGATGACAGCCTCCAGTTATACCAGTGCATAAGGAATTTTAAAATAACCATACCCCTAACCAAGCATGTTTTGGCTCTCACCTGAAGAAGGTTAAGAACATAGTGAGTTACCACTGCTAATGTGACGGGGTAACTTTTCAAAACATGGTATCTCAACTGTGAAACAGAAACCCTAGGTCAAGTACAACTCTGTTTACACAGATCCTACCGGTTAGTATTTCAATATTAAGCTTTGTCTCTTGACATTCTAGGTCATAAACTCAAATGCCCTTTTACAAAAGTAAGGTTATGTCTATAATTAACTCATGTCAGTTTAAAAATCACTTAACCCCATGTAGGCTCCTCTACAATTTGATACGGAATGAAAAGCAAATAAATTAATCTTTCCCGACATACTTACACACTGAGTTGTGGGAAATTTTTATATACCAGGAACATAAGGAAAGCAGCTGATAAGAAGATGGTCACTAAAATAAGAAGTGATGTCCGAGCTGATCCACCTTCTGCCTGAGCTTTCCCTGAAATTACACAAATACAAATTTTTTTTAAAAAAATACAAACCAACAACAACAAAAAGAAAACCCTCACATCTTACAACAGATTTCAAACTTATACTGTAAGGAAACATTAAGTTAAGCTCTCTGTGGACGTAATCTTCCCACCAATGCTTTCAATAACATATACAACACATTGCTCACACTCCCTAAAAGCTTTCAAACAAATCTGAAGTCCTTACGCTGGCAAGCATCCCATAAAAGTCAACTTCTATGATCCGTAATAATTTACAAATTTATTAATTGAGGCCTAAAGAGAAAAATACAGCAAAACAAAGCTAGCCATACATATATTTTCCTTTTTGTCAGAAATCTTCTGCCAGTCTTGTTAACTGGAGATTTAATTTGAAGTTAAATTTTCAGTATGTACGATGCAACTTTGAAACATACTCATTAGCAGATTTGGGGTTTTTTGCTCCTATGAAAGAACACCAGGCACAGCCAGTAGCCAGTTAGATGAAACACACTTATCAGGAAAAAACCCTATGTAAACGCACACGCATCAGCCTGGCACATAAAGATTACAGTTGTCTGACTTAGGAATCACACATATTTTACACTCAAATAAAAAGACTTATCTTGGGTATGTCTATGCAAATTTTTATTAGCCTTTAAATTCCTGTGTAAAGGAAGTAATGGGAGTACAATAAGTGACATAATTACATTTTAGGTCTCTTCCATACTTTAGATTCTTACCAATATGACCATATATATGCAATACACTGATTAGCACAAATGCAACTATATGCACAAAGAATTTTAAACAGAAATAAACAGTAGGAACTCTCTGCATCCACACTGGGGCGCGTATATGTGCACGTATTAAAACACCCTCTCTCCTCAGACATTGCTAGGCTAGCACAACTTCGCAGCAAGCATCAGTCTCCGCCACCTGGAGAACACAAAAAATGCCGAGGCTGTATTTTCATTCGTAGAGGCCGGTGGCATGACTAACAATGCAAACGCATAACATTCAAGCAGGTCGCACTGCCACCTCACTGTTGTGAAACACAGCGAAAGGATGACGAAACCCACGGACTAAACAGAGCCGGCTGGACGAGCTGGCAGTTTTATTCGCTTTAACGCTTTTTGCTTTGAGGTCAGCGTGATCCCACAGGTGTGCACCGGCTCTGCTAAAGCCGAAGGCGGCAGCCATGTAGTAGTTACAAGCATGAATACCTCACCCGTGGTTAATAACATTTTCTCCAGAGAAAGAAAAAAGAAAACAACCCCACAACAAAAAACTAAAACAACAACTTAATAGGACGAAAAATACAGCGAATTGCAGTTTCTGCCACTGCCACTTTTTGTACTACAGTCGTGCCGGTAGTGGAATAACAAACACGCAAACGAACCTACGCGCGTTTCCTGGTTAGCATGTGCGCGGGGCACGTTGTTGCCCCATTTGGGCCAC